CGCTCTTCCAGCTGTTCATTACAGCAATACACGCGCTCAGAAAACACGGTATACAGACTGCTCATATCAAAAAGGCCTCGGTCTTTCTCCTTCAATGGATCTATAGACTAGCCTAAAATTCTATAGACTGAACAGTTCAAGGCCAAAAACCAACAGGAAGCAGGAAATGTGTACTAAGCTTGGAAATGAAATCAGTTTCAAGAGGCATGGAAACTTACTTGGGCGTGTTTCGAATTTTCCGCATATAGCTCTTCCGTCAATTCGCTCAGCCTGTGATTTACCATTTGAAGAGCCACGACACGCATTAGAAGGGCTGTACATAAGCCTCTAAAATGAAGTTTTTCTCTAAAGAAGACGACCAACCTAGCCTGGAGCTCAGAGATCTTCGTAGCAAGTAACCTCTCCTTCTCAGAAGCCACTGGTTCAACCTGTGTTTTAAGGCAAGGAAGGTGAAGGATATGATAAAACCCAATTTAGATTTTTTCCCCTTTCTAGGCAAGGAAGGCGAAAGAGAGCCTTGGCGCACCGGTTAAGGTGTTGCCGTTTTGACTTAAGAGTTCACGAGTTCGAGTTTTGGAAGCAGCCTCTTGCAGAATATTCTACAAAGTAAGGTTTGCTTACAATACACCCTTGTGGTGGGACCCTTTGACCCCGTTCAACGGGGATATTTTGTGCACCGGGTTGCCCTTTCTAGACAGAACAAGAGGTCTAGCTTAAAGTCGATAAATCTACTTACAACTCCATTGCTTTCTGATCGAGACAAAGGTGGCAACTTTCCGTTTTGAGAACCTATAAAAATGATGAGAAAGTTATGGTTTGCCCATACACTCCATAATTACCACATGGTAATCAAAGAACAGCTATTTATCTCACCATCTGTCGCCTCAGCAGGTTGTAAGCTATTCAGTAGATTCATAATAAGATCCTGCAGTTACATAAAGTTTAATTATGAAAATTATTATTATTATCTCGTAAATTCATCAAGCAGATTTATTCACGTTTTGATGCAACGGACCGGGACTTTGTTTTCACCTGTTGAATCGAGGTATGCTGGATAAGATTTTGAAGATGAGGAATGAGGAATGAAGGAGACACAGGACTATTACTTAACTCCTTGACGGACTGATTCGTTGGCTGCAGGATGAAAAAAGTAAGAATAGGATTAAGAAACTAATTTATATACAAGAAATTACAAATAAAGGGACCAGCACGGTGATGAACCGACCAACTTAGACTCCAGTAGCCAGTCTCCGACACTAGCAGATTTTCTCAGAGGCGATGTCTGAAAATTAGGTGCATATATTGTCAAGCAACTGAGGGGAATCCTTAGTCTAGTCAGGAAAAAAAAACAGAGACTAGAAACTAACCTGTGGAGATCGACGTGGGACTGTACTTAATGGTACATCCTAAAGGGGGTTGCCTGGTTAGTGACCTTGAAAAAAAGAGGTAAACGAATAGCAGAAAATGAGATAACCCACCTTTGCGAGATCTAAGTTTTCGGATGTCACTGAAAACCGTCCTTTGATCTGAACCAGATTGTTCTTTGACTTGTCATCAAGAGAATCACGGAATCCTGATCAATATGGAGAACCATTTCAGTCAATTGCAACAGAAGCAATAAAGTTAAACAATGCCATTTCCCCACCTCCTGAAGATTTAATAGGAGCCGATAAACTGTTTGCTGAAGCACGGTTTGGAAGCATCAGAGGACCACTAAAGCTGGGTGCCCTCCGGACTGATGGTGCAGTCTGTCGTTCACTCTCGAGTCTAGCAGATAGTGATTTCAAGTTGGAGTTTTTAAAAGATGTTAATAGAGGAGAAGAAGATATAAAGTCTAGGATGATATTATCTACTAATGTCACAAATCAAAATGGAAAAATGACACAGACCTTTCATAAGCATGGCCTTTCTCGAAAGCCGAATTGCTTAAGGCAATCCCAGGGGAAAGTGGTCCGCTCTGACTTTGGCGTCTCACTGGTTTAGCCTTGGCCTGTGGAACATCATGCTCTGAGTTCGATGCCGTTTGTTCTACGGAAGCTTCTTTCTTGATTTCCGTTTTCTCTTCGCAAATGGGTTCTACCACCTCAAAATCTGAATCCTTTTCCTTCCTATTCGTATTCTCATATAGTAATTGATTACCACATACTTGCCCCCTGTTATTCACCTGCAGCATTTTTAAACTTGAGTTCAAACTGCCATGGACTTGTATACCAGAAGGGTGGGAACTCAAGAATATTTTTACAATATTCTATATGAAGATTACTAGCCTTGTTTTGAAATTGTTCCCGGGAAAGTTCTTCTTTACCCTCAGCTACGTCATCATAATCCTCCAGCTATTACATAGACAACGAATCCCAAACAAAGGTTGTTTGATGAAAACCAAGAGCTTGGTAGATAATATGATGTAGATGCTTCAATCACATATTATCGATAAAGAAAAACTTACTAGAGATGCTTGAGCTTTCAAGTCCTCGACATCAAAGTTCCAAGCACTGACTCCCCTTTGGTATTCACTCTGACATGAAAAAAAAATTTCTCATATGCATTTTGCAATACTGAGCTTAAGATATAGCTTTGAACATCCCGGTCACCTTTGATATAGCCTCCTGGTCAGCAGAGCCCAATCTCTTCAAAGCAAGCTGTTGAGCATCCTTGGCCTGCCATATACAATCACATGTTTATCAACAATATTGAACAGGACAAGACCAAACAAACACGCTGGAACATGAGAAAAGAAAGGCTGACCTGAAGAGCTTTTACACGTATCCAAAGTGGTGGCAAATCGGTAAATAATCTTTTCATAGAAAGCTCAGGAGGCTTCGCGTTTTTGAAACAGGAGTGCTTCAACAATTTTTCAGCTGTTGGCCGTTTCGTTTGATCTTTCACCAGACACATTGCAACCATTTCTTTAAAGGACTGGGCACAACTGAAAATCCTCTAATTAGAAGAGTAATAGAGAATGTAAAAAAATGAAAACAAACACACAAAGGAAGCCAAAACGTTTGACGCCAAAAGAGTCCACCTGGAAAGGACACGGGTACCTTAGAAAACTTCTTGTCACGGTCATAATCAAGGCCAGGAGGCGCATTCTGGATAGTCATTAAGAGAACCTATTGCAAGAAAGGAAGGAATCAGATTTATTTCCAAGACATACCTATATAAGTCGTAAACATAGATAATGAAGAACCTTCATGGGGGGATATTTTGAGAATGGTGCATGACCATGCGCCAACTCCAGTGCCGTTATACCAAATGACCAGATATCGGCCCTGTCGGGAAATAGCAGATGAACAGACCAACCGATAAGCAGCTATTGCACATACTTGCTCCACACAGATTATGAAGATATTCGATATGCATCACTAAGCAAAATATGGGACAGTTTCATTTGAAACTGAAACAGTTCACCAGAACACAGTCTATTACATATAATAAACTCATCATATCAAACACAGACAAGAACCCAAGCATTCTTGTGACTTTTGAAACAGCCAAGGGGCTGAAACGACCATATAACCAAAGGAATACCCAATAGCTGAGTTTCAAATTTATCCAACACACATAAAAAAAGCTACCTTCTAAAGCCTGCAAGGAAAGCAGCAGAACAAAAATATTCTCTAGACTGAATATGATCTTTTCAATCAAAGTATAGACTTACTTAGAATTGTATCCACTTCCTGGCTGCAGGACCTCTGGTGCCATCCTACAAATGAAAACAAGTGTACCGTTTCAACCAATCGAATAGAAGGATGTTTAAGTAGAACAGAGAGGACATAACCGAAGCAGACTACAATAACTGACCAGCACGGAGTACCAACAAAAGTGTTTCTTGCACGTTGCCTATCACCATTGTCAAACAAGCATGCAGAGACACCAAAATCAGCGAGCTTAACCTCTCCATTATCATCAAGAAGTATGTTTCCAGCCTAAAATGGAAAAAAAAAAACAAGAATCTTGAAGACGGCACGGAAGGGGTAGACCGATAGATGAGACTCGCATTTAACAGACCTTAACATCACGGTGGATATGCCCTTGCTTATGAAGGTAACCGAGAGCTTTAAGAGTCTCTTTCAGAATTGAACAAATAGCCGCTTCTTCGAATCCATCCGGGTATGCTGCCTTCATAAGGTGAAAGCAAGAACCTTGTGCCATAAATGGCATGACGACCCAAAGATTATGCTCGACGACAAATGAACAGAACGACTTTATAACATTTGGATGGTCTATCAAACTCATCGTATGGGATTCCCTCCTTATGCCGTCCTAGAAATCAAAGTAATTCAATCAATCCACGAGACAAGAGGATCAAAACAAACGGAAACTCGGTTGAGTTACAAACAGAAAGAAAGGTTCCAGCAAATCCGAACACTCTGAGAGCGAAACACAATGCAAAAAGTAATATGAAGCTGTGAAAGGACAGATCTGTTCACTCTCTCCTCCGCTTTCAAATCATTTGCCGAAAGCGACCGATGTCTGAGCACCATCATGAAATTGGTTCAACTCTTCAGATCAAATAAATTAGCGATAGTTCTGCAACCCGACAATACTTTGAAGCAGACATTAAGGAGAACGAGTGAGAGCAGGACCAGAAATGCAGCAACTGAATTGACGCCGCGAGCCCATGTTCTCAAATTTTGCTCCAGAAATCAGAAACCCAACACAAATCTCCAAACCCAACAACCCCGCAGAAACGGAGAAGAAAATTTTCGACCGATAACTAGGAACAAGCGTAAATCCCTCCGGATTAGGCTAATTTAAAACCGAATCGAGATCTGAATACGATACCCAAAACACAAAGATCGAGGAGAACGAACGAACCAGATTGCTGTTGCAGCGATCGAGATCCAAACACTTGACAGCGACGACTTCGTTAGTGGGCAGATAGATCGCTCGATAGACGACAGCACTGGCGCCAAAGCCGACTTCTTCCATGAGCTTGTAGTCCTTAGGGTTTGCAGAGTAAGTCCTCTGCTTACCACCGCCACGGCCCGACATCGTCCTCAACTGCGAACCGAAACCCGCCCTGAATACCACCACCAAACCAGGAACGGTAATATCAATCCGCCTTTGGGAGCAACAATCAAAGCGAAGAACAAAATCAAAATCGATGAAAATAGAGGGGAAAAAAAATCTGGAGCGAAGAGGGACTTCGGTACTACAGCTTCGGAATAAGTCCAGACACCATTGAAACTGATTAAACTCTTTAAAAAAAATTGTTTTTCCTTTTTTAATTTTTTTTGGCTTGAGCTGCTATATTTCTGATCAGTTGACCGCCACGAGTCACGACAAAGGGCGAGAGAGGCGGAGTGATGACGTGGCAATGCTTCGTAAGTGTCTACGATTCTTACACGTGGATACGACGCAATAATGGACGGTTGAGATCAGTACTGGGCCCATCTAACTTGGCTAAGCATAGCTCACGAGTGGCTAATGACTTTAGGTTGAGTTGAAAAGGGCTGAATATTCTTGATTTTTTTTTAATTTCTGGATAAAAACTCGATTATTTTATCCACCAGGATACAAAAAGTGATTATTTATTTTAGATTAAAAAAAAAACATGATTGGTCTTTTTACACATTACGATAATTATGAGGAAAAAAGAAACAGATTTGGTTGCCTCCATATATCCCTAAATCAAATTCAACTCCATGCCCAAATTAAATAAACAGATATGGAAGCTTGTAGATATAGATAGATATGAAAATCAGTTGCAGTAAATGTATAAAACTTTTTTTTATTTTTCACACTTATAATATGTTTAAATGTGGATGAACACATCAGATTCGTTCGGATTTTATTGGATTTGGTGATAATGGGCACTATATTTTCAGTTGAGTCTAAATAAAATCGATAAGAAGTTCAATTAAATCTGGATTTTGTTTAATTTCTTTCAATACTATCGGTTTTACGGTTATTTATAATTAATATTGGTTTAAGTGTGTTTCGGTTTCGAATTAAATTGGGTCGAAAAATCGGTACACTTTATATTCTAAATGATGAATATTCTTAATTACTTTATCCCATTTTTATAGACTTTTATGTTTGAAATCTCTAACTAATATTTTTTGTGAGCGGCTCCCCATTATTTCGGAAACGTAAAATGTATTCTCTCCTGAATCCGTACAAAATTTCAACACTATTAAATTTCGGGATATATAATTAATTTGTGGGTAATTGGTTGACCATATTAAAACCATGAAAACAACCACAAGTCCAATATATAAGATTAAAACATGATTTCGATCGGCTATTTATCTAGAGTAATATGTATTTCACTATGTATCTCAATAGTGTAACATAAAAATAAAATTAAAGTACATGTTTTTTATAGCTTCGAATTATTTACGAATTTATTTTTTATGTTTTAAATTTTATGTTTATTTAATATATATATATATATATATATTCAATTTGATATAAATAGAAATAGATATTCTATTTGATATGAGTAGATATTCTATTTGATATGAGTAGATATTCTATTCAATTTTATATTCAATTTTAAACGAATCGTAGGTACAAATTTTCTATAATTGAATAACTCGGACCAAACAAGTAACGAACCGAAACGGAACCTGAGTGAGAGGGAGAAACTTGATCGTTTGAATCGCTTTCCATTTCATGTTCATTTTTTTTTCAAATTAATTTATCATTTTAACCCATTTATTATGCAAAAAAAAAATACTTCATTTATTTGCTCATCGTATTTTTAGGACGGAGACATGTCAAATCAATGGCAGATATGTAAAATCTAGGGCGCAAGCCTGAACCTCTTCACGTCCTCGACCACGGCCTGCTTGAACAAGGAAATGTCGGCAGCTCCAAGCACCATGTGATACCCACGTGACCTGAGATCGGCGGCCTTGTCGTGTGCGGTGGCCATCCCGGCCAAGTAAGCCCCGCCATTGGCAGGGGTGGGGGGCAGCACCG